TGTGGAGTCTCCTTCTCTGGAGATATTCCAGACCCACCTGGACGCGGTGCTGTGCAGCCTGCGTGGGTGAACCCTGCTTGGGCAGGGGGTTGGACTGGGTGACCCACAGAGGTCCCTTCCCACCCTGAACATCCTCTGATTCTGTGGTTCTGTGCAAAAAATCATTTAAGGAAAAAAAATAGTATTTTCTGCGAATTTTTGCAGTGCTGCCATTCCTAAGGTTTCAAAAATCACCAGGCAGGTGTAAAAGATGAATTGAGTCAAAAATGGAGAAGACAGGTAATGGTGCCTTTGTTAAGAGCAGGGCTGACGCGGTTGCCTTCAGGATGTCTTGTCAGAAATGCTCAGGGCGCTTTTCACGCCGCTCTCTCCAGCTCTGGGGCAAAAAAAGAAAAATCACTATTTCTTTTCTTGGTTTTAAAAGAAGTCTAAGATTCAGATGACCACATTCAGCCTAGCTGCTGGGACAAGGTTGGATCGCAAGGGCTGGAAATGCTGATTTTGGTGTCATTTCTGTCCTCGCGGGATGCAGTCCTGCTCTTGCCAAAGCAAACGGCCACTACGCAGTGGGACAAGGTCTTCCAGGAGGCTAAGCTACGTGAGGATTTTCAGCAGCCCTTGTCCCTTTTCCTTCCAAATGCAAGGATAAAACACAAGATGGCACTTCAAAGGTCATCAGGCAGACACAGGTTTGTAGACAGAGGTGAGCTCTTCCAGCAGACCAACTAGAAGAGCCAAAAGAAAGGGGACAGGCAGACTTCAGAGCTGAAAGCAAGATGAGGACACCCTCCCTACCCCACAGGTACAGATCCCTTTTCTTTCAGGGATGCTTTGTGAGACACTTAACTAATCCCCTACCAAGTATTCTCATTTTGTATGAAGTTATCAAGCCTGCAGCTCTTCTCCAGATTAATGCTTTGAGCACCCAAAAAGTCGATCCACATTTTCCAGCCACATCAACACGAGAGACGCTGCCATCGCGCCCGGCACTCTGCAGCCCGGGCTGCGGGTCGAGCGAGCTTCACGCAGGGATGTGTCACTCTGTCTCGCGTGACAGGGACAGTTTCCACACCATCTCAGTCGCTTTTGGGCGGCGGGGCCAAGCCACACCGTCCCCGCACCGTCCCCAGGTCCCCGCCGGGAGCGGGGGTCTGTTGTGGACCGGCCGGGTTGGAGCAGCTCCCTCAGAAGTCAGGGAAGGAAGGACATGGGCAGAAGCTCCCAGCAATGGGAATCATTTTACATCCCAGTGACAGAACCAGGTCCAACGTCTGGTGTGAAGGGCTTCTCGTCCGTAAGGGAAATGTATCAAGTCATCAAAGTCATGCGAACGGCTAATTTTGACAAAACTTCATTTCAAATAAATGAGAAATAAGGGCTTCGATACGAATCGTCTCATCAAAAAGAAAAGCAGCCATTCCAAAAATGCCAATCTACCCTTTCATTTCAAAAATCATTTCATGCTGTCGGTGAAAACCTGATATTATGAATGACACCAAAGACTTTCTTTTTTGCCTCACAAAACCCTTTCAAGGGAAATAGAAAAAATCTGTATTTTGGTTACACTCAGTCTTTGAAACGACAGAATTTCCCCCTTAAGCTGGTTCCCACGCAGCTCTAGATGAAACACAGCTCGGAGCAGAAAGACCTTCACTCGTGTCCTCCCCCGTCTCCCTCTACTCCACCGCTACCCCGCCACGCTCCAAATACTTCCTCCAGCGGGGGACTCTGGATGGACGCTCTGGTGAATGACAGTGCCTCGGCTTTAGCGTCCAGCCAGAGGTGGTCACGCAGCCACCCTTCACACCAAGTTTTTATGGTGGACTGGTAAATTGTACTCCTTCCCGTGCCCGTTTACAATCCTGCCCGCTGCGTCCCTACGTCCCTACGTCCTTCCAGCGCCGCGTCGTGACAGCTTTAAGTACGCTTGTCAGATGGTGAGGGCTTTGCTGGTTTCGGCATAGGTAGAGTAATTTTCCCAGCGGTGTTCAAGGAGAGCAAAGGAAAAAAGCAAAGAGAGAGAGGGGGGAAAACACAGCCAATCTTCAATAATTCAAGGAGAGAAGGACTGGGCCAGCAAATAAGACGTGTATGTTCGGCTTCGGCATAATCCTGGGTAAATCCAGATCTGCCCTGGCCCGCTGAGGTCATCTGATATTAACAGACATTAGGTGCCTAAATACTCTTGAAATCCAAGTCTTTCTGTGCCTAAAGCCTGACCTACAAGTAAGGATTTTAAGTAATTATCATCATTGAGGTGTCCTTTGAAGCTCTCTGCTATCACAGCGATGGTGTCCGTGCGATGTACAGTCTTACACTGGTTTTAAAAATCTTTCCTTTACGTACCTTTGAGTCCTCCTCCTCTCACTTTTCTTCACGCACTTGATGAGACAACAAGTTAAAAAAGCCATGGACATCAGCAGAATGACGGCGCAGCTCACGATGGAGGCGATCACCGCGACCTTAAATCCAAAAGTCTCATATTTTGATATGGCTGCAGCAAAGCAAACACAGAAGCACGTCAGGAAGGTCAGCCCGGGAATTTCTCTTTCGCATTTTCATTAAACCATGCTGAAACCTACCTGCTTCACACCGCTGCTAATAACAGCTCAGTGAGGACTTTCGCGTTCGTACGTGTCAAGATACCAGGGTATCGTGGCTTCAGCTTAGAGCTACGCAAGCCTCAAATTGGGCTATTTAAAAATCTCCTGATTATAAGCTACTAATGAAATGCTACAAGCATTTCACCACTGCAAGTAATTAAACGCAATGCCTTCAGCGCTGCGGTAGCTGAAAAGCACATCTTTGTCGGCATATCAAATGCAGACGAGCCAGCAGACTCTCCTAAGCAATTGTTAGCAAGGACTGGAGCTACAAATACAAATGCTGACAGGGGTAAATGGGTTGGAAGAAGCCCTTTAGAGCAAGGATAGTTCTGTATAATTACACCCTGTGTGGCAGACAGCGAACAACGGGTCTTCCTCTATTTGGGGAAGGGCGCAGGATGGGAGGACAGACAGTATCTGCAGGGCTGAGTGTTCCCAGCGACCCCGTGTTGGCAGGGAATTATCCAGCCAAAAGGAGGAGTGGGAACGCGGATCTCTGCCAACTCATGTGGAGCACTAAGCACGTCTGGCTTCAAAACTCATCAAGTTCTCCCAACACCACAACGCCCGGCATCAGAAATGGTCCAGCTGAGCTCCACACAAAGCCTTCTATTTCTGCGGCCTCTGGAGGGGAGGATTTCTCTCATTTTTTCTTTAATGGAGCCTCTCAGATGAGACATAATAGCAGCTGAGTTTGTGAGAGAGTGGTGAGTGTCTTTTAGACGTCCATCTACTGGTGATTTCCAATTAGACCAGCTCTGAGACACAGGCTAAGGTTCTCAAAGCTCGGAGGTACCGTGTTTTGCTTGAGCCTACTTCTAGTCAATTCTACTAGTTCAATTCTACTAGTCAAGCCTACTAATTCTAGTCAACCTCATAATAAATAAGAAGGAACGCAGCGGGAAAAGTAATTAATGTTGTTGCCATTCAAATGTTATTTGTCAATACGGTAACTGCCCTGTGTGGCTGCCCACAGGCAACAGCTTAAAATTGTTCAAAAAATACCGCTGTATTTCTTTTATAGCAAAAATATCTTCAGAAAAGAACGCCAGGAGATTAGAGGGTTTGCAGATATGCTCGCACATTAGCTGGTAATATCTATACATTTTCTAAGAAGGGTACAGCTTGCAGCTACAGAGCCACATTTCTTGCGGGTGCAACGCTACCGGAGTCGGTGACGTGCAACCAGACATGAATCCAACCGAGTCTTTTCTGTGTCACGATAATTAACGATGTCAGAACACATGTGGAGCACAATTACAGTCAGTGGGGGCAACTGAAGGCAACGGAATTTGTCTTTTTCCTTGCCCAGATGCCTAGAATTAATCCTAATGTTGCAGGAGATAGGCAGGGCAAAATAAACGCAATGCAGCCGAAAGGGCCGAGGAATGGATTGGCAAGAACCTTACGCTTGCAGGAGGGCACGCCGGCTGTCCACTGGGTACCGTTCCCCTTCCAAACGCAGGTGATGACGCCCGGTCCCTCCAGCTGGTGCTCGGCAGCGCACTGGAACGTCACCACCGTCCCCACGGCCGTGCCGTTGCCGTGAACGATCTGCAGCGTGCCGAGCTGGGGCGGGACGACGCGGCTGCACTGCCCTGCGGAACAAAAACAGAGCGAGACGATGCCGCGCCGGAGCCAGAAGCGAAGGTCCGCTTTCGTTTTACCATCGGGCCGAGCCGACGGTCAGAACCACCAACAGACCTCGGCATGGGCGACGCTGACTGCTCGGCCAAGTACCAGCCCAGGGCCAAACCCCCTTCGGTGCCACCCAACAGCTCCACTGCTCTGACCGCCGGCACAAAGCGGGGTTTTGCTCCTGTTACAACAGTCACCACTTAGACTGGTACGTACTAAGCCTTTTTTTTAAAAAAAAAAACAACAAAAGAGTCATTCTGTGAGCGGCGTGGTCTCCTACGAATTCTTGTCTTGTTGGACTCGACGTGTTTAGTCAAATACACAGGCTGGCACCTTCCATGCTGGGAGTGCTCGCAACACATCTTCCCCCCATGCAAACTCTGCAAGACCTAAAGGATCGATCACATATTTCAGTCTGCTTGGCAGCATCTTTGCATGATCCTACAGAAACCTCCTGCACCTCTGTTAGTCTGGGCTGAAATCAGAGAATCATCGAATCTTTAAGGTTGGAAAAGACCTCTGAGACCACCAAGTCCAACCGTCACCCCAAGCCCACCACGCCTGCTAAACCATGTCCTGAAGTGCCACATCCACACGGTTTTTGAACCCCTCCAGGGATGGGGACTCCACCACGGCCCTGAGCAGCCTGGTCCAACGCTTGACCAAATTCTGGACTTCTGGAGCTCTTTTAGAGTCTTTTAGCCATAAGCAACCTGTGGCAGCCAGTTCCACTACTTAATCTCACATTGTTTGAACAAGTCCCTCTATCTGCTTCTTTCTAACCTGTTGAGCCAGGAGGTTCAAAAGCCTCTCTAAAGGGAGGGGACAGAGACACACACATGTACAGCACATCCACATTCAGCTTCTCTCCATTTTCAAGTGACAAACTCTGCTTTACAGTACGTCGTTCATTTTTAGCACGTGTGCTCATTCGGCCTTTCTCTTTCCACTTCTTTGCTGTTCGTACAGCTGCTCTTTGACTCCTGGAGCTGTTCTCCTCTCGGCCACCAAACGTCAGCCACTGACTTTATATGCTGGGTTTTACTGTCACAACATTCCTCGTTTCACATTCATTTTAAACCCAAATTTTAATGACTAGCCATTAAGACAACATCTAATATCCAGATATACTTCAAAGATAACAACAGTAAATACATTTTTCTGGTTTTGTACACATGCACTGACAGAATCTGGAAGCTGTTTTCCATAATCTTTTTTTTTTTTTTTTAACATTTACTAAATACCAGCACTGCTTCTGTGTCAGCGTCCGAGTTCCCTATTTTTTGCTGGATTTCCAAACGACTTCAGCAGACTCAGGGGCAACTGGGTTGCAGTTGCAAGACCGGAGTTGCAAGCCCTACGGCAAACCACAAAACAACTAAAAGGGGGAAAATATGCTTCCCACACTTACAAGCAAGAAGAAATGTCGAGCTTTAATAGCCTCCTTGAGAATAACTTGGGAGAATCACAGTGCAAATAGCAAATCTATTTTATTTTTAATACTTAACGCCCCCCCTCTCGTCATTAATTATCGGTAAGCTTCTGCGCTCAAACCGCAGCAGACAGGCTTACTGCCTATCTCCAGTTAACGCTCCTAACAACCCCAGAAACCTCAGCAACAGACCAAACAAAAGCCAGGGACAATTACTGGTCTAATCTACTGAGTAAATACGCACTGAGGAGTTGCTTTTAAAAACATGCCTTTTTCAATTCCACGCGGATTATTTCTGTTTGTTTGGCCACTTCATTCAGCCTCTTACTATGGCAGCAACTGGCCTCAACAGGAGCAAATCTTTGGTCGAGGGTCATTTCCTTCCACCTCTCGTCCTTCCCTCCAGCATCCCACGACTGGCACGCAGTGGACAACCTTCCTCCTCACGTCAGACGAGCGTGATGAGTTTGGGCTCTTCTTTTCACCTTCATCACTCAGAGACTTACTGCAAAATTCCTACCTTTTTGCATTTTACACTTTCAAGGCTATTTTTAGACACCAGATCACATACTTAGGGTTCACAGAGGTGACACTTCCAGCTGCGCGAGATGCAGAAAGTAATTTGGAGCCAAATTTGATTCGAAGCACATCTGCTCAGCCACCACAGCAGCCCTCACTAGACACATTCAGCAAACCTGCCAGCTTACCTGGATTCATTATTCAGCCTCTGCTCCCCAGAGAACAGATCACTTGGCACTGGATCCTTTCTTTCGAGACGTATTTTATTCCATCCAGCGCTGACCATCCTGGGTAAGGTGTGAAGCTGTAGCTAGTTCAGGTGCTCGTGACCCTTCCCTGCCCCATCCTTGCCCATGATGGTGATTAAAACCTCGGAATGTCCGTGACCTTGCCAGCATTATTCCTCAGCCGTGGATTTTCAACTGGTTTTCTTCACTTGAGCGCTACAGAGGTTTCTAACAGCTAACGTCCCGTGAAGCCGTGCGTATCTCCTCGCGTTGGCCAGGGCTGCGACAGCGTTATGTCATCCCCAGAGGCTCATTCCCACACGGAGGTAGTCAGGGCAGGAACCCCAGAGGCTCGTCTTAACGACAGCTCGTGAGAGCTCAACTCCTGAAAGCTTCTGCTCCTGGCTTTACGCAGCGGCTGAGCTGAAAGTTCACCAGGCGCATTTCACGGACCTGCATTTGGCCAGAGCAGAAATCCCATTTCTTCTTCTTCTAAGAGCTTTTCGACACAATTTCTTCCCACCAAAGACCAAGCATTAAATGTGCCACTGCTTTTTGCTTTTTACAAATGCTTTTATTGAAATGCATAGCTGGATTTTTGCCAGTAGGACTTTGTGAATTTTATCCAAGTTCGGATTTAATATCCGGATGAAATTTGCCCTAATTTTCATCAGCAATGGTCTTCTAATAACTGATTTGCAAAATCTCTCCCATAAGCTCTAGCATTCTTTGCTATTAACTATCCATAGCGTTTTTGCAGTTACTTGCTGCATTCGCTGTTCTGGTCGGTTAATTTTACCCTTCTATCCCCAGAAAATCATCGTTTAGATAAGCTTCCATCCTTCTATTTCTACAAAGAGATGTTCCATATAGATTTATTCTTTGAATACTCTTCAGGAGTGTTTCTCTCACTAAATCTACTACAATCAAGATTGATTTTTTTTAAAATAGAATATATTGATATTTTGTTTTCAGCTGAGGCTGTGTTAAAGGCTGCATTGCCTCCTGAAGTAAAACACAAATACTGCCTAAAAATTTGTGCTGACCAGATTTACATCTTGCTTTATACTTCTTTCCTAACTATCCAGAAAATGTCATGTTCAGGTCTTGGTTTGCAGTAACTGTTAGCATCCAGAAATGTAAAATCAAGTGAAACTCCTAATTTACTGCTCACGTAGCTTCTGCAATAGCTGCATCTCAAACTCCACAGATCCATGCCTGACAGCCAGCACCTAAAGCTCGGAGGAATGCTGGAGGAATGAACAGCCTGCCGGCCATTTCTACTTGGCGTATAATCAACATCAAAATCCATGCTGTATTATTTACCTCTAATTAGCCTCATGGCATCGTTCCTAGCTGGATATGTGTCTCCAGCGCCCAGTTCCCATTACTCCTCACTGCTGTTCTCCACTCCCAGGCTCGTGCTCTGCTTACTCTTTCAGTTGCTGGCTACTGATTCCAAGCTCAAGAAGAAAACCCACTTGCTGACACATCCCTATGAAGCAAAGGCTGGAAATATTTTTATTTATTTATTTGGAAGTCCAACAGAAGTTGTGAGGACTCTCACTGAAAAGGATGAACAAACCGCCTTGCCCAGTCTGCGGGCCACGCCAACGTACACCGTTGGCTCTGGTGAACCGAGATGGCCATCAGCCATCAGCCAGCCAGTTCCCTTCAGGGCACTAAGGGCCAAACACCTTCAAGCTCCTACAGCTGCTGCTGCAGCTTCTTGTAAAGCAAGAGCTGATTCGTACAAGGGCAGCTCTTAGCTTGGCTTCACACTAAAAGGACACCCAGTGTTCAAAAGGGACTCAGAAAGAGAAGGCTCCTTATTGCAGACCTTAGAGCAGCCTGCCAGGACTTCAAGGGGGCTTATAAGAAAGATGAAGACAGAGCTTTTAGCAGGGCCTGTTGCAACAGGACAAGGGGCAATGGTTTCAAGCTAAAAGATGGGAGATTTAGACTGGATGTAAGGAAGAAATTTTTTACACTGAGGGTGGTGATACACTGGCCCAGGTTTCCCTGAGAGGCGGTCGATGCCCCATCCCTGGAAACATCCAAGGTCAGGCTGGACGGGGCTCTGAGCAGCCTGATCCAGTGGAAGCTGTCCCTGCTCCCTGCAGGGGGTTGGGCTAGATGGCCTTTAAAGGTCCCTTCCCACCCAAACCACTCCGTGATTCTATCTGAATCCACTGCCAACACACAAGAAGGGCATTGGCTGTTGAAAATAAACAGTTCATTTCATATGACAAAGAACTGTCCTCACAGTAAAGAGACTAAAGTGGTGCAGTGTACTCCGTAAATTCTTAATTTGTCCAAGCCCCTGGGTTCAGAAGTACCCACATACGTAATTTCCAGGCACTGAAAAATAGAGGGTAATGCAAGAATTAAGACAACACAATCCAAAATATCTCTCCACATGCACAGCCAGGATTATATGCGTTGCAAAATCGGTTTGTCAGAGTCACCATATGGTTTCATTGTCAGCAAGCTGCAGATTTATGTTTTGCTGATAAGAAAACAGAAACAAGAGAGCAACTTCGGCACACTTGCCCGTGAAACGTTTCCTGTGCTCCTTCCACAGCAAAACACGGAGACTAAAACTCAAATACATCATATACATATATAGCAAAATGTTCTGAAACACAGCGATAATTACCTGAAAGCCTGTTATCAAGATTGCCACTCAGTGTTTGCGCAGAAAGGGAGCAATCCATGACTCTGCCTCATTACTCCCATACACACGGAACTCCAGCCTTTGCGCTGCTGATTGTTGACTGTTTAATGCAGCTAAAACACGCTGGAATAGCCAGATGCCAGAGAGAACATTAGGTTCTATAAACCCTGCAGAAAATAAACATGCTGATATTATTTCTGCAAGTCTGTTTTCCTACAG